GGAGTTCCAGGTGCAGGTCGGGCCACGCAGGTGTAATTACTAAATGATTTTTTTTGTTTATGTATCGCTTCGCTGTCGCGTGCGATTTCAGATGAGACAGATGAGTCGTACTGCAGGCAGCGAGTACCTTAGGAAGCTACACCTTGCGGTCGTACGTTCGATAGCGATGGAATCAAGCATTTTTCGGGCTCCCAATCTATCAGCTCGAATTCTGATAAGTTAGTTCCAGATCTGGACAAAATTGTACTCGAAGCAAGAAGAAGTTATTTGAAGAACTCACCCTGAGTGTCAACTCCTCCAGGTACGTTCCTGAGTACCTGAGGTATACATTCGCATAATTTCGTTCAACTAAAATTTAGAAATGGGAACATTCGTGAATATTCAATTTCCTCGAAGATATTGACGTACTTTTTATAGTCGGTCCAAAAATAAAAATCTAGCGCATTTAAATACGTATTCCAGGTCAGGCAATTGGTCCAGCAGGGCTTACCCATCTGTTATAAGGTCGTTCGTTCCAGAAATGTCAGGTTATTCAACTAGAATGGGGCGGTGCACTGTCGTGCATAAATCACACGCGACGTACAACGTGTACTAATGGAACTTCTTCCAATTGATTGCTCGAGAAACTGACACGGGATCGACCTGTCGACCTCTCATTAAGGAAAACAAGGAGTTATCGAACACTGTTATAAGAGGTTTAGTCGAATCAGTTATACCGGCTCGGTTTGCGATTAAGAATTATCGTAGTACATATGTGGGGCCCACATGTTGGTATGCACCCTAAATTTCTCAGTTCGGCGATTCTAGGAGATCTTTCAGCTGAGTGTTTACATTTTTCATGTAAATCTAATTTTACGTATATTTATCTTTAACAATCAAATGCATATCATTGTAAAAGATATACCGAGACGGACCTCTATGTTTATTTTTTAAGGTACTTTAAATATTGTAGCGTCGGTTTTTCCAGAGCATGTAACTTTTCCAAGAAGAATATTGAATATTTTGGTAACGGAAGATTTTCGGGAATCGTCCCTAAAAATACACGTTTCCGAATATCAACATTTAGCGAGATTGATAACACACACGAACAAAATTCTCCATACAAAATCCTGGCAGCTCTTCCCTAGAAAGCCATTTCGCGAATCACGCATAATCGTTCTGTATACATTTCTCAGGCCATGCTTCCCGTGTTCACCCTCCCGCTAATTCATCCTCTGAAACTGCGACTATTCGAATGCGACCCCCGGCTGCACGGATGTACATCTGAAACTTATGTACCAGAACAAATATTTCCGGACGCGCAACGGTTCCATTCGATGGACAAAATATTTATAAGCGGCGTGAATTTATTTTCTCCATTTTTTCTTTTGTTCGCTCCCGGTTCGCAATCGTACGATTTAACCTTGTCGGTTTACGCGCGACGTGACCACCGTACTTCAGCCTCGCGTTACCTTCCGCAGGTGTATAAAATCGTCCAGGTGTATGAAATTCACCCTTGCGAGCGGCCCCGCAGACCTGCAATTTTGTTGCATTAAAATACGCGCGGTAATGCGCAAAACAAGCTGCCGGGAGGCCATTACGCGATCGTGGTTAGCCTCGACGCGTCCGAAGCAAAGAGGGTAGCCGGAATCCTACCCTTCCGAGGATCCTGTCGAACTCCGATAATGGTAACAAGGTGAATCCGAATTATTGCGCTTCTTCAGGTAGCAGAAGGTAAACGGAAGCAGCAACGGGGCGTCATGTTTAACGAAACTACGAAAATGGGACGAGGAAGCAGACATTTCGGTGCGTTCGATGGCAATTAAATATTTTTTGTAACGTTATGTCCGTTGGAGAACTCTTCTTTAGTAATCCTTCTTTACAACAAATATTTTTAATCTGCTCCGCGAGAAGAATGTCACGAAATTCGATTCTTCTGACTTCATAAATTTTGCCCTCCGCGTATACCATCGAACGAAGATGGCTGCATTAGTTCTGCCTCGTTTCGCAGGTGCAACACACGAAACATGGCTCTGCGTGAGTCGCCACACTGCAATTTTGTGGCAATGTACCGCGCATAATGTTTCATAAAGTGTATCGCTGGCATGATCGAAACACGAAACCCGCCGACCAACGATGTTTCGAACAAAATTTACCGCAATACCACCTATTCGAACCCATATATACACACATGCAACGCGAATTAAGGTATCTTAAAGATATCCTCTCGCGTTTTGTCATTTTCTTGCGATCATTCCACGCGTTTTTATTCATACTTCTTTCCACCGAGCATCGGAATCAAATTGCGTGACGCATTGAATCGAAACTCTCGCGACTCAAGGCTCCTTCGTAAAAAGATTCCTCGACGTTTTGTACGCGGATAACGAATTACTTTGTCGTTTGGAGCCGCTGATGTCGATTTAACTCTTCGTCGTATACAATACATTCTTCCTGAAGCTTTTTTTTTACTATTAGAGAAACGAGACGTAAGGATACATTCTACTAACTGTAAATTTGTAATATTTACTTATTATTGTACGAACAGTAGGGATTCTTTGCTTTTGGATGGCGATTACATTAAAAAATCAACAAATAAGAAGTCAACTCAAGTAATTTCATGGTTGAAATTTATGTATCCTCTTCGTTCCAGGTCCCAGGAACGAAGCGTTTACACATGTAGTAACGAGGTCGGCAATTGTTCTGCGACCAAAACAAAGGGCGAAAGACCAGAGTCATTAAGACATCACTGAAATCTCAGCGATTCCCCAAGTATCTGATTTGTCTTGTTCGTGGCACGCGTCTTCATCTAGTAGACTTCACATACTTCACGTGCTCGCAGGGTCACGGAAGCCTTAATCGCGCGATGGTATCTGCGACGGGGCCCCGTCGAGCGAATCGCAATTTACCGTGTGCCGCGCTAAGGTTAAAATAAAACGAACGACCAATTAAATTTCCTTCGTTCGCCGATGTCCGTCTTGGTCGTTCATTTATTTTTTCATCGGGATTTTTTCCCATTTAATCCAATGCGGGCGCCACCTGCTCACGCGTGTCAGATCCACGCTCGATCGCAAGCAAAACCGTGACTACGCGCGACAACAAACAACGGAAACAGCCATGCAAGTCGTGATGAATTTGCGCCTGCGATAATGAGCATGCCGAGAAGCCTTTTTTTCTGATTTTTTCTCTTTCTTTTTCGAACGGGTAGAAGCGATCTTTGGGACACGTCAGGCGATGGATGAAACATGGAATGCATGATTTAAGATTATTTATGTGCATGATCAAGAAAATACCGAGAAGAGTGAGATTGCTACGAAGAGAAATACTATGACAATCTGAGATTGAATTCGAATAGTTATTGCTGCGAGTTGAATGTATTTTTGAAAACAAAAATGAACGAAATGCTTCACGAATTTATAGATTCTATTATTTATGCATGCAAAGTGTTCAAGACTCGTTAAAAGTTTCAAGACCAATCAAGACTTCAAGACCGATCAAGACTTTCAAGAACCAATCAAGACTTCAAGACCGATCAAGACATCCTGGCATGGAATAATGATCCAAGCGATCCGAAACTTCGGTCTTGGAAGTTTCAAATCTCTTCCGAGACAGATTTCAACGCCCATTTCCATATAGTGTATTTAAAGTTCACCTCGATAGAGATAATTCAACGAAACGATAGTGGAAAATAGAGTGAACAGTGGTGAAGTAAGTTCATCGAGAGCAACGCGTGGACTCGATAATGAGAGAGGGGCGGAGGAATTTAAAATGAATACTATTGGCGCCAAGTAATGAGCGACAGTGCGTATGTCGAACACGTGTGTAAACGAAGTGCATGTGTACAGATGGCAGAGGTACTCAGAAACAGAACACTGTTTAGAATCACTAATTTTCCGTCGAACTTAATATACTGGTCGCGGCGCGGGCCACAGACTGTGTTTCTCTGTTCTACGAGTGTTATGGAAATTTTCGGGCCTGCTAATGCGAAGATACAGCCGCCGAAAGTTTGTTCGATCGTATCGCGGTCAATTTAAATACTCGATAGGTTCTGGCTTAGGGAGTTAAAATTGGATACGCCTTGAAAGTTCCTCCAGATTAATAGCCTCATTACTATTCTCCGTTTAAGTGTGATTTAACGCGCGCATAGAATGAAACAATTTGCAAAGGAAATTTATGAGAAAAATTAAATGCAAGATAGTAATCTATGTTTTGTTTGAACGTATTGATATTTTGGGCAAGGTATTAATTTACAAAGCAATTAATAAAATATATAAGGAAAATCATCGATACTCTTTTATTATAGTTTAAAGAATTGTATTTAAATTCATTTAAATTAATTTCAATTTCAGTGGCGCCATCCGTGGGAAAACGCCCAAGTTTTTTGTGATAAAAATAGTTTCCACTGTTGTTGCTAGGTGGCGGATGGTTTAGTTTTAGTGGCGCTATCGGGGGGAAAACGCCCAAGTTTGTAGTGAAAATAGTTCCCACTGTTGCTACTAGATGGCACTACAGACGAAAGGGTCGATATTTAAGGGTTCTATATCAAGTAACTATTCACAAAAACGATAAATTTGACATATTGACACACGCTCTAATCATTTTATAATTTTATACATTTATTATTTGATTTAAATTGATGTTGCTTTTGGAAGAGACAAGTTTACGTTATGTTTATTTTAAATAGTGATTATAGATTTTCAGTCTGAGCCTATAGACTCAGATTCATATGTAAAAGCAGATAAATGTTTAAATAATATATTAATGTAATATTTTGTAGTGTTATAAAGCGAGGAATTGTATTAATTATGCATTCATGTATCGGTGGGAACTATCTACACTACAAAGTTTGGCGTTTTTCCACCGATGGCGCCACTAAAACTAAACCATCCGCCATCTAGTAACAACAATGGGAACTATTTTCGCTACAAATTTAGGCGTTTTCCCACGGATGACGCCACTGGTACATATAGCGCCATCTGGGAACTCTATTTCAAATTATGCGCCACAACAGCATTGTGAACGCGTGCGCACAAAATATGGCTCATTTGACAACAATGGCGACAGTTCAGCTGATGTGACAGGACACTGGGTGAATGGTTATTTCTGTTTAATTGTATAATCTTGCTGGTGTATCACCAAACAAGCGAGAGATCTGTTTTTAGAATAAGTGTTTCCATTAATTCAAGTTTCGTTTGACGAGAATTAAAAGTTGTTCTTGAGCACCAGTACAGTGAAAGTGCTATGATGATCTAGACCTGACCTATCTTGTAATCGCTGGCGTCTGTACGTAGAATAATGAAGGGTGAGTGAATATATCATTTATAGTATAAATAAAACATTATGATCATTGATGAAATAAAATTTAATAAGACAAATGTTATCAAATATATTCTTAAAGTGACATAACCCAAGAAACGCGTATCGAATGTATACTGTGTTTACTTAGGAATCTGTTACTCTTTCGTCAGTTTAATGTCTCAAATGAGACCATACTCAGAACCTGTGTTTGTGATTTTTCTAAGAATATGCCTAGGAAAAAGCGAAGTAATATTGGACAAGTAAATTCTAAAGCCAAAAGAAAACAAAGAACAGAAACACCTGAAGAGCGCGAAGCCCGACTTGAACAACATCGTGTAAGAGTGGCTTTGTCAAGGGCAACAGAAACATACCATAGACGTCAAGCTCGACTTGCTCAACAGCGAGTAAGAACTGCTTTGTTAAGGTCTGCAGAAACAACTTTGCAACGTCAAGCTAGGCTTGAACGGGGTAGATTAGCTACTGCTTTGTCAAGGGCTACAGAAACAATTCTACAACGTCGAACTCGACTTGAGCGAGATAGATTGGCAACTGCTTTGTCAAGGGCTGCAGAAACAACAATACAACGTCAAATCCGCCTCGAAGCATACCGAGTAAGATAGTCGTGACATAAATGTAAAAGTCTGTGTGTTTGAGATTTTCCTATAATTCCCACTGTTTTTTGTTTCCCGTGATTGTGACGTACCTGTAACTTCTACTGTTGTTGTTTGGTTCAAATGAAATTGTGTTCAGTTTCTCATTACTTTTCAGCAAATGGTATGGCCTACTTAATTTGCTGAAATAATACTTACAATTATTATTTTTAATAATATAGAGAATAAAATGTGTGTGTGTTTGTGATTTCCCTATCCCTCCTACTATTTTGTTCAATCCAGGTAAGATTTTTTTTAGTTATATATGTTATGTACGAAAATATTAACTTTAATTATTATCGTAAATTTATATAAAATTAATTTTAAACTTATGATCAGCGTTCAAGACGTTCAAATTTCTATATAGTTCGTAAAGTGTATCATACACACTGATTTTTTATGAAACGTCTCGGATCATACGGAAATTGTTAATGAATCAATCTAATACTACACGTCAATTAATAATATTACGGAATTAACTAATTCCGCAATTTATATGTATACAAATTTATACGAATAAGTAACTAAAACGATTAATAGTGGTTCCATATTTATAAATATTATAGAAGTTGAATTATTAACTTCATACGCGGTGGAGTAATTATAAAGTAATTGGATGGATAGAACCGTTCGTTGTGGGTACCTTTAATTAAAAGTGTCATGTATCTGACTTAAGTAAATGTACTCAAAGTTTACGTCGATCCACCTAAACAATTGCTTGTCATTTCGAGCCACTCTGCCTCGACTTATTTAGGCAATTGTTCAGATAGATCTTGACTATAGTAATAATTGCAATAGTTGATTATAGTTAATTTTACCATTCAATTCGACTAGATTTAACTTAAAGTTAAGAGTGCCTCCAATGAAGTGTGAAGCCATGGCCGATATAATCTTGTCGAAACGAAAACATCCTTTCTTCAACCCTGCGTGGGAAGAAAGATATTTGTTTACAACACTCGATAGTGGTCCCGTATGTTTAGTGTGTCACAAAGAAATCTCACACTACAGAAAGTTTAATTTTTCTCGTCACTACAACGCGTTCCACGCGAATGCGTATGCACACTACACGTACGACAAGCGAAAGGCGGAAGTTAGACGACTGAAGGCCCAGTTGGCTGAAGAAGAAGAATTAATCAATCTAGTAAATCAGTTCACTTTAACTATTAGAATACAATAGCATTACCAGCTTCTTGAATTCTTTTAATTTTAGACCATGGATACTGCCGACGCTCCATGGGAAACAAAATATTTTTTTACGAAGCACGATACAGGCCTTGTATGCCTGGTGTGCCACAAGAAGATGTCTCACTTGAAACAGTACAATTTTCAACGGCACTACAATGCATTCCATGCGAGTGCGTATGCAGACTTCACGCATGATAAGCGAGTGGCGGAAGTTCAACGACTCAAGGTCCTCCTGGCAGAAGAAGAAGCGTTACTCAATCAAGTAAGTCACTCGATCATTTTCGTTATAAAACTCGTTATAAAGCTATTGTTTTACTCGCAGGAGAATGGTTTCTTCAACCCTTCGTGGGAAACTTTATACTTTTTTACGAAGTACGAGGATGGTTTAATATGTTTGGTGTGCTTCACAATGGTGTACGACATAAGAAAATACAATCTCGAACGGCATTATAACGCGTTCCACGTGAATACGTATGCCAAGCTTACGCACGAAGAGCGTTTGGCAGAAGTTGAAAAACTCAAGGCCAAGCTGGCAGAAGAAGAAGAGGAGTTAGCTTACGAAGTAAGTACATTTCAACGTAATTATGAACATTTCTAAGAAGAAGTTACTTCTGCATTATTATTAATTGATATGTAGTATTGGGTTGATTCGTAAATAACGTCCGTTTATATTCGACATATGTTACGCTTTATAAAATGTATATATGTACATTTATATACAACAAATTTTTATTTCACAGTCTGTATGTACCGTTTAATAAAGTATAGATATTTTGAAATGAACTCTTTAGACTTCGTAATCTTGTAGTTAAAAACTCATTTCCAGTCAGTGATTAATAATGTAGCGTTCAAGGCACTGCGATCACATATACGAGGAACTACAAAAATGGCCGCCATTTTTTTCGGGCCCTTCCATAGATTGTCCCCCAGACTAGTTGGCTGCTAGAACTGCTGTTAAACAAGCATTACTTTGTTAGATGGCCAACCAGAAACAAAGTCGAAGAAGGTTTCTAGGAAGGCGAGAAAATCGCCAGGCACGTCTAGAAAGGACAGAAGACCCAGCGTCTGAGGACAATGCAAAGTCGGATCCCTTACGCGCCATATCTTCTCAAGAGTTAGCCTCACATCCATCGGAACCAATAGTTACGGAGGTGTCTGCAAAAACAGATCTCCAGCACTCCATATCTTCTCAAGAGTTGAAAGAAGAGTTTATAATGCCGGAACCAATGGTTACGGAGGCGTCCATAAAACAAGAGCCTCAGGAGTTGGAAGAGTCCTCCACGCAACCAATAGAAGCAGTGTTCTTGGACGAGTCCATCAAATTGGAACCTCTGGAACCGATCACACAATCCACGGAACCACTGTTCGGTGAGGAATCCACAGCCTCGGAAATCAAACCGTTCCAGGAGTCCACCACGCAGCCAATAGAATCATTATTCTTGCCGGAGTTCTTAAAGACGGAGCCCCAGGACTCTGACACGGGACAAACAGAACCATTGGTCTTCGTGGACCCCGTACAAACGAAACCTCAAGAGGATCCAGTACAAACGAAACCTCAAGAGGATTCCGTACAAACGAAACCACAACAGCTTCAAACGACCAAACGGGCACCGAAGCCACTGGTCTTGCATCAGCCTTTACTCTTGAAACCCCAGGTGCGACCCTTTCGCATACTCTGTCATTGATCTATCACTGTTAAAATCCCACACAGCAACATTCTTATTCTAGGTTTCTCAGGAGTTAAATAAAATTAACCAAAGAAGTAACGGAGGTCCGGTTCGGAAAATATTGGTGATCAGTAATAAAACTCCGTTGAAAATCCAACCATCGGATATTGTAAGTTGGAAAAAGCCCGAATCACGTTCGTTCAATTTTCGAAATGAAACTTTCGAGATGCATCCTTGGATAATTGAACTTTTATTAGAGTACACAGCAGCATTCCTATTTTAGGTTCTTCAGAAATTAAATAAAAATAACCAAGTCAGTAGTGGAACCGGGGTTAAGAAAATATTCGTGATCAAAAAGCCTGCGTTGAAAATCCAACCATCGTCGTCGAATCTAGTAAGTCATACAACGCTTAATTACGTTCGTAATGTAGTATTTCGAGGATGGGTTGTCGATTATTTTGATCGGCTAATTGGAACCTGAAGATGATTATTATCGAACTAACTGTTGCCATTAAACATTATTTTATGTACAGAATCCAACGCCAGAATTGAATCTTGCGCAATCTTCGTCGCAAGAGAAACCCAAAGAAAGTACGCAGGAGACGATATCCAACAAAAGGAAACACCCAGAAAGTTCGACTAAAGTCCGCGGTCATACCGGGAGTTTAGAAGTATTGTTTAAGGGTGCTGACATGAACGAGAAATTCGGGCAGTACGTTACGTTGGAATTGCAGAACTTGGCCTTTGAGGAAAGTAGAAGATTCTTAAAGGCGCGGATAAGAAAGGCGATCCAAGAGGCTGTCGAGTTTGACGAATCCCGTACAATACTTGACGACACCTGTGTTCTTCGAAATTCACAAAATAATAGGAATGACCACTGATATAAGTTTGAATATATTATTATTGAGTATTACCTTTAAAAACTGACTCCTTGACGCGCCACAAATACCTTGCATACGTCCTTCGTTATTCCTTCTCCTTCAACGTCGTCAGACTTTATCGAAGTAACCGGAGTTATATTCTGAGATAACGCCATTTGGCATAGGAAAGTTTTTCCAAAGAGTGAATTGACATTCATTAGTTCATCTTTTTTTATTCGTTAATCGAAATTTCTGTTTAAATAAGAATACCGCTCCATGTTTGATCAACCGTTCTCTCATTTCTTCGCGCCAACCTGTAGACACGCGCTCTTTGTTCCTAAAACAAAGAAGCATGCTAGCCATCCCGTAAAAGCAAGAGTCGTGCTTAGCGTGATTCACAGTCGAGGAAATGGCCTTGAACGGTCAATTGAATTTAATTGAACTGCAGTTATTATTAGAGCTTGATCTTTCTCCTTTGACTATAGATTAGAGGTAAAGGACTATCGGAAGGCTACCCTTAACAACATAATGGAGGCATTTGAAGTAAAGGCAAATTCGGCAATAGCACGTCTAGAGAAGAACCTGTTTCAAATTAAAAGTTAACAATATTCTATCAATTTGTATTTTACATGGAGGTTTCGACTACCCTAATCCAACATTTTTTAATAATCGTGCGCGATCTGTTATCACTGGTTTTCACAGCTTTCCACGTGATCATCGTTCACGCATGTTTAGCCTTTTTTTACGATCTTTCCCCAGTTTTCGAGATTACGAATTTCATTTGAAACGCGTATAAAGGGTACGTGCATCCGTATGGAAGACAGTCGCACCGTTCACGTGCAGTCTGCCGTTTACCGTACCAAGTCATTGTACTCGCATGTACTAATCGCTATTACGTATGCATGCTGCATTAAGGCAGGTCGCTGATGCACGCCGAGGAACTACTTTCGCGCAAGAAGCAACTCCCTACTGATTTCGCTGCTTCCACCGCGGAACATTGTTCTTCGAAAGTGAAACGTTCCGCCTCGTCGCTCCTCGGAAACTTCGAAGCGGCTTGGAATCATTAACAGCATTATTTGCTCATTTGCACATCTATCTACTCTCTATTCGTTGATTGCGAATGCAAGTTTTTATTTCGTGAATTAAAATGGTGCGTTAGGTGTTTGGAAAATAGCGTTTAATTTATTTGTCTTCGTTCTTTGTTTGGATCTATTTTGGATTTTGTTAGTACTGTTAGGCGAAGTGACATTCCCTAGCAATTAGAATAACATCGGTGTTGAGTTTTTCTTTCTGAATCAAATACTATTATTATTGTTTGACAAAGACCGATGAATAATATTCGATACAATAGTTTTTTACTCATTTTATTAACGAATTTATCTAATAATGTTAGCCTGGCATCGAAGCCTTTTAAGATCGAACCTTTTATGATACGTTTTCATTTAAGGTGATTCGTCGCGAGTCGTTGCCCTCTCGGCGTCGACGATCGCTATCGCCGATGCACTTTTTATGATGTTCGTACTGGGTAATGCGATACTGGCGGCTGCTTTGCAGATTGAAACAAGCTAATCTCTGTAGCTCCACCGTGCAATTTAGCATCACACGCTACCTGAGCTCTAGACGATACACGTGACGATTTTTACGGCTCGCGATCGTTCCTGCTATGTATGTATATTACAGCCTATTGCTACCAATTTTCCTTGACACATTCAAGCCGATAACCAGCTTCGACCGAGATAAATACGATCCATGGCTACTAATATTAATAACTCTGTTCTGATCTGCAGGCTCTTGGTCGAAACTTTTTATTTGCTGATCCTTATTTTCGGATTTACTATTTTTCTTCCACAATCTTCGAAATATTAGAATTTCGTCAGAAAATGATGCAATTATAAAAATGAAAAATTTATTCGCAAATTACCGAGTTAATGGATGAAACAGACAACACGATTATTCTGTATTGCTGTTTCAATATAATTTTGATAAAAGCAATTTCATTGAAACGAATCGTCACCACTTTCCCATCGGTTCGATGACTTTCATACCGATATTTTAATTGTTACTGTCAACGTGAAATTCCGATATTTTTGTGAGTAGTACGATTAATAACAATGAAGTGTTATTTGTAAGGGAAACCTTGTATCGACGTACACGATGATTGTTGGAGCGCATGAAGTTAACATTGCTCTCATCTTTTGTTTATTAATGAAAATTGAATTTTGATTTCAAAAAACGAGCGAGACCTTACATTTATTAAAGATCATTTGCAGAGCCAAAAAATGCATAAAACTACACAACTATTTGTCACATAAAGTAAGGTTTCTAAAACTTTCAACCAATTTCATAATACCGGGTGGACTATTTAAACCACGATATCTTCCTATCATCATCCCATAAGAAATATTTTCAGAGTCATTTTATGATGTCTCCCAATTGAAATATTCATTTTTGAACACATTGATCCTAGATTTCTGTCAAAATGCCCGTTTCAACAGTTTTCCTCATCCTCTCCGCCATCTTTATTGTTCTCCATTTACCCGTACACCCGTTTCACAGGAACGAATCGAAGTTTCGCCTCGAATCAGCAAAATATTTCTCATTCTCCAGTGACAACACACTTAGTCACCGAGAGAAATCGCCGAAGAATGATTTACAGGATTGAAAATCCGTAGACCTCTGCAGAGACAGTGACGTACCAAGGGTGGGGAGGACCAGCTGACTGGCCTCTCGGTGAAACTGTCTCGTCGTTTGCTGCACGCCGTTGCTTTGACAGTGTTATATCAACCTCCGGGAGAGTGAAGTCGTGTTCTCCCGCCTCGTTTAATCTCTCTGCTCCGTTGTCCTCTTGAAACTTACACCCGACACTGCCACGCTGTTTCGAGTGCAGGTTTGCGTGCGGAGACTTTCGCGAGGATTATTCGCAATTAAGAGCGCACCGTGGGCCACCGGAATCTTTCGAGATCGAGAAGGAAGAACCGGAGCGTCGCGTCTCGTAGGGAAGAAGAGCGAAACGACAGATCTCGAAGGGAAGAATCGAAATTCCCACGATGCCCCACCATTAAGGGAGATAAAACAAGTAACTCGAGCACGCGACTGACACAACGGAGCCTTTATTGGGACATTTTACGAACTTGTGCAGCGTGTTGTGAGTGATAAAGCTTATCGGCGCGCGGCAACCTGAGACCTTTCGCGTCAGACCGGATCGGTTTCTTTTTTCTTTGGAAGAAGTTTGGTTTGGTCCTTCCTGGATAACCGGAAACGGGCATTAACGAACGAAGGGTGAACAATGTCGACACTTCAGAACAACCTCCTTTGAAGCTCTCTCACGTTTGCGAAGATAATATTCATTCGTTGGAGTCATGCTCCGTTCTCTCGTTCTTCGTCAAAAGGTAAATATACATTTTTTTTTTCTTTTGGATAACTGTGGTCGAAGAGAGTAGAGCAGGCTTGAGGCTTCGCGAGGAATTCTTGTTGCAAAATAGGTTTCACGAATTACGCTTGTTACGACCTGCGGTAATTGTAAGATTATAGAAGGCAATGCTAGGAGTTTAAGAAAATTCTAGTCGCTTCCAGGATGCGTAGGAACGAATGGAATTTAGGATTTTTCGACGTTTTGGAATTTGTGGCGCGAGAAATGTTTGTGCAATTTTTTAAAATAATTTCATGTGTTCGCAATGGTCGATGGTATTTTATTTTTAATTATTTTATTTCGATCATAGGGAAGACACAAGTTATTAATATTTATCAAACCGATTAATATAAAATCGGAAACAAGGTAAATAACTCATAAAAGTTACAAAGAATATCGAGTCAAGTATCGATCGCAGAAAGTGAAAGGCGAACAATAAAACATGATTTTATAATTGCAACAGGAAATTTCATCAATTCACAATCTCTTTACATTTTCTTCTCTAAACGTATACGTACAACGAACACGCACACTCGTACGTTTTATCAGTTAATGAATTGTCTCGTAAACATAGATATTACTACATACGATGAAACGTGTATCTAATATTAGCAAACAGGAAGAAGATCAATTCGAATCAGATTTCTATTTTTTCTACGGTCGCGTTGGTTTATTTGATCACAAGTAGCGACGATTTGCGCATGGCGAGCACGAAAGCTAATGGCGCCATTAATAGTTAGTGGTCTAACTTGTACTTGGAATATTAGTACATATTCTAGTACATTCATTTATTTTAGATACTTACTTTTAGAATCTTTCAATGGTAATTTGAAAACGATTCACACCAGAGGTCGACACGTCATTCTACCCCTTTTACGTTAAATGAAATTAGAAATAAAAACACATGATTTTTCCACCGTATTCTGGAATGACATCGCGTAGTAATTAGTTGATAAAAACGTTCTCGCAGGCGGCTCCCGCGAAGTAGGCGTGAGCACAATGAACGCTTGATGGGGCGGTGATGCAAAACGTTTGTTTTGGCTAAATTAGGGATGAATTAATCTGTCGTGCGAGCGCACTCGCGCGGCGTGCATTCATTTCCGCGTGCAAGTCGAGTGCATATCAGGCTTTCGAAGAGACGGGGAGAAGGATCGTCGAAGAACCAAGAGAGAAAGAGAGAAAGAGAGAGAGAGAGAGAGAGAAATCTCTACGCCAGATGCACACGGTGCTGCTTTCACGTTGAAAAGTTTTTATCGACTGACAAAGGAAACCGCGAAACTCGAAGCGAGCGCAATAATTTGCGCGAGGCTCTGTGACGGTTCAATTTCATTCTGTCTCCCTCGTCATGACGATTTTCCAGACGATTTTTCTCTTACGTTTTCAACGGGAAAATGCAAGATAAATATAAGAATTTCTCGACGTCGCCAGACGGGGCGGAAAAGATCGAATTAGCTGTGGTAACTTTTATAGGAACCACGAGGTTGATGAACTTCTAATTAATTTTCAGCGCAATGCTATCGAGTATTTAGATTAAAACTATTGGATATAAAAATGTGAGAGTATTTCTTCATAGAGTTTGCACATGTATATAAATAGAAGCAATGTTTTGAACAGTAG